AAAATATACAAATAGATTTTCAAGTATAAAATTATAATTGAATTAATTATTTGGACTTCTGGCCAAATTAAAGTGCAGGTAAAAAAATTAAAATATCCATAAGGCCTAAAAAAATAGGCATTTAAATTCGGGGCCCAAAATAATAGGCCAAAAGTCCAAGGTGGGCTGAGTAAATTGAAACCATGAGTTCCTACCTAGATATTGGGTTGGGGTTAGGCACAGATTGATCAGGCCCAAAAAAAAATTTGGGTTGGAAGCCTAAGGCAGAAGATAGGCTGGGTAAAAAAAAAAAAAACATGAGCCTAGACAGGGCGTTGATCAGATGCAACGTAGTGCAGGTGCATCGATGCACCATCTGCAAGCTGGGATCGTGTGCATGCGGGGACACGGATGCACCAGCGTAGGGCTAGGATCCAGTGTAAGGACACCATAGCCCTACAGGCTGGTGTTGCGTATAGGCTGGGCTGCAGATTATTGGTTGCAACCTTGTGTGCCTAGATTAACAAATCTATCTAGTGGGCTGAAAAGAACACTAAAGCCCAAAGGGCTGGTGTTTGGACCAAAGGTTAGCCAGGCCTAGATGGGTATGGGTAAGGATTAAAGAACATCCTAGTGTTGCTGCGTAAGGTCGCCGGAGTTGAGGCTAACACCGCCACTTTTGGTAGCCGTGTTCTAGGTTAATTTTGGTCGGGGGAAGCACAAGTTCGACTTGGAACCCAATTTTGAACAGAGAAATTTGATTTCTCGACGTTGGGTGTGAAAACCATGGGGATTTCCAATTGAAATCCTAAAATACTTAATGAAATTCGTCAGGAATTTCAATAATCATTGTTAGAGACGATGGGTTTGTCCCAAAACATGGCTATAGTTCATGATTCCCAATGGAAATTAGCGTTAATGTCGTGGCTCGTCTGGAGGCGAGTATGGGTTTTGGGACAATGCCATAGACGGCGTCGATTTGGTGTTCAGGGAGAGAGATAGAGTTGCTGACTCTCGGCTTTATGGCTTGCGGCTCAGCTCAATGACGCATGCTGCAAGCCTTGGGATGGCGGTTCGATGTTGCGCGTCTTGGAAGCCAGCGGTTCACGATGTGATGGGATGGGTTTTATGCAGTGTTCTAAAAATCAGCCTAGGCGGTCGTTTAAGCGGCGCCTAGGCACTAGGCGATAACCGGCCACCGAGATTAACCTATAGTCAGAAGAAAAATCAAGAAATGGGTGAGGTGGGTTCCGAGGTGACCTAAGCGGCAGTTGGGCGGCCTAGGCAGGCGACTAGATGGCCTAGGCGGTTTGGGTGCTTTAAATCCTTTTCTGTTTTCAACTGGATGGCCAAGGTGGCTTAGTCGGGAAGAATGCAGAACACCGTCGTGTTCTTCGTTCTAAATTCCAGTGAAGAAGAAAGGAAGAAGAAGAGAGAAAATTGAGTTTCTCTCTTTTCCTTTTCCACCCACGTGACCATTCTCAAGTCTCTCCGTTTAGCTTTTAACATTTTTTTATTTTCTGTCCAATCAAAATGGGACAGCTAGCATCCTATTTGACTAAAATGCATTAGGAATGGAACATCTAGCATCTTAATAATTAATGTGTACTATGATTCGTGCCCCACCTCCCTCCCTTCTATGCATATCAGTTTCCTTCCCTACTATTTTATTTTTAATGTTTTTTACATTGATGATTAAATGTTTCTACACCCATATATTTGATACCTTCATTTCTCTTTATATGCACTATAAATTCACTATTTTTGTAAATACTATTGATTTGTAACCATATGAATTCTTATTTCATTCTATTAAATTCACTAAAGTACTAAAGACTAGGCCTTGTGCGGTGGTGACCCGAGCTGTTTTCTCTTATCTACATTACTATATTTCCTCATTTTCCTCCTATTTTGCATTTTATGTGGTTTTAAATTGTGAACTTATTGTACATGTGTCATCCTACAATACTCCTCACTATGGTTATATGGCATATATGCTTAATGTGTTTTTCAATTTTGGACTTGTTGGATACTCTTTTTGCATATTATCATTCTTTTATCATCTTATCCATGGATTTCATACAAGTATAATTTTTTTTAAGTGTCAATATGCACTTATTTACAAGATATATAAGAAATTTACCTAAATTTACCTAGACTTTGCCTAGCCGCCTAGGCGATATGCGCCAACCCGCCGCCCGACTAGCGCTTAGCGTTTTTTAGAACCTTGGTTTTGTGAGAAACCCTAATTTTTAATTTTTTTTTCCTTAATTCCAGCTAATAGATCTAACTCAATTGCATGCATATTCAATCAAATAATTCAATGCATGACATATATGTGGTGCAATCTATGGCAATATCAAATTTACATAATTCAACAATTATGGATATAATGCATACACAATTTATGTAGAATCTAAAATTCGAAAATCGTCAAGTTAGGTCATACATTATGGTGAATGTTCATGCTATCAAGGATGCAAAAATATTGAGATAAAAACTGTTGTTTTGAAAGAACCTGATTGTGTGATGATATTGATGAACTGGTTTGATGCAGAATACTTTCATGTCAGATTCCTAAGCGCAGCGGTAGGAGCGTCCTGATAACATGTTTTGGCTTATTTTAATTTCATAGGGAGAAAGAGAGGCCGACGATACGGAGAGAAACTAGAGAGACAGAAGTGTTTGTAGAGTTGTGTAGAGGATGTGTTATTCCTCCCATGCAGTGTCTTTATTTATAGTAATAAGGGAGGGAAGAATCCTTCTCCTCCAAGGAATACAAGTCCTAATAAGGAAGAATAACTAGTATCAAATCTAATCTAGGATTTACACAATCACACTTAAATAAGAAGTTTATAACAAACTGTTTATTTGATTTATCACAATTGAAAGATTATTCTAAAAAAATTCATTCAATTTGGAAAATGTTTAGCCAATATGTCAAACAAATCGATTATAATGGTACAAAGTAATATTCTCTTAGTGAAACGTTAATTTCTTGTTTAATATAATGACTAAACAGCCTCTAAATCGAATAAAAGTTTTAGAGAAAGATAATTGTCACATCCTAGTCCGCATAGTAAGATATTGTCCGCTTTGGGCCACGCCCTCACGGTTTTGTTCTTGGGCTTCCACCCAAAACACGTCTCACTATAGGGATGTGGGCATGTACATATAAGGCACATCACATCCCCTCCCCCGGGCGATGTGGGATCTTATAATCCACCCCTCTTAGGGGCCCGACGCCCTCGTCGACACACTTCCGGCCGGTGAGTGGCTCTGATACCAAATTGTCATATCCCAGTTTGCATAGTAAGATATTGTCCACTTTGGCCTCTCGTCGGCACACTTCTGGTTGGGGAGTGGCTCTGATACCAAATTGTCACATCCCAGTCCGCATAGTAAGATATTGTCTGCTTTGGGCCACGCCCTCATGGTTTTGTTCTTGGGTTTCCACCCAAAACGCATCTCACTATAAGGAGGTGGGTATGTACATATAAGACACATCACCTCCCCTCCCCCGGGCGATGTGGGGATCTTACAATAATAAAAACAAAAAATTTTGATTATGAAGTTTGTATGGTTAAATGATGATACAATAGTCTAGTAACTCTATAGAGAAGAGCACCAAACAAAATTTGCAACAAAAAATAGGTTAGAATGTAGCTAGTGCCTAGTGGGTAGGTAAATGATTTTTATCCGATTAAACTCCGTGATGTATTTTGTCATAAAACTTATAATTATTTTTTCACTCTTAAGCCTACTCTAATTCTTGGGTTAGAACCTAAAATTTAAATTTAAAACACCCTCTACCCCCACTCATTCCAATCCTTGGGCCAAAAGTCAGTTTTGGGTAAAAATTGATTTTTGGGCAAATCCTGGCCAAGATTTAGGCATGGGTTAGTGGGTTGGCCACTGTGCGTGTAGACACGGCTAGCAGAGGGAAGACGCAAGACAATGACACGACCTATGTGCCAAACGAGTGAGGCGCTAATAAGGTGGGGACACAACCCTGCTAGGTTTATTGGCAACGTGAAATGAGCCCAAGGACTCTTTGTTTGATTAGATGACCATGATAAATAGACCGTTGTTTGATCCAACGGTCCAAATTCAACTTTATTTAATTTTTAGTTTTATATTAATTTTCATTGAACCTAACGTTTGAGATTCAATATGATCACATGTAACAGTAAAAAAAATCTAATGGCCCAAAATTAAATCTAACGACTAAAACAACTACAAAATTATTCAAAATTCACCCAAAAACTCTATAAGTACCTATGTATTTGTTCAAACATCCACACAAAGTTCACCTTTCTCTACAATTCTTCCAATTTTTCTTTCTACCATCTTCCAAAACCGTTTCTTCCCATTTCCAATTTTTCAAGATGACAAAAGATCATATTACAGGACCTACTCCAACCTTTGTGTTTCATGTGTTTGACATTTGTTTCAGGTGTTTCATGTGTTTCATATTCTTTTATTGTTTCATATCCTTTTCTAGTGTTCCATGAGTTTTATGGTGTCAGTTTAGTGATTTTTCAATATTTATCGGAATCTAAATAATTTTAGATCAAAATATTCATAAAATTAAATTAGGATAGTCTACATAATTTTTATTTAAAAAAAAAGTTACTTTAAAAAACAATTTAGCCTAAATTCATTCTTTAATAATCTTGAGCTAAAAATTTAACCTATAAGGGTTGGAGGAAAAAAAATTATTTCTGGTTTAAAACCTAAATTTTCTGCGTTAAAATTTTTAGATTTTAATCAAAATGTTGGAGATGGTTTTACATAATATTGTTTTGTTTAGAGGAAATTTAGTAAGAACACCTAAGTAACCTGTGTAATTTTGTAGAGAGATGACTTTCACATGCTATTTTTTATTTCTCATATATTTCTGCTAATTTTTTTTTTATCATATTAAAAAAAATCAAACAAGTCAAGATTAAACCGGGGATGTGTTTTTATCATTTCTATTTTCTTATATCAGCAAAACTCTATCCGCTTCAGAATTGTTGGGTCTCCCTGGGCGACACGTGTCACCTTACCCTTCTAAAAGTACGGTGACAAAACTTCCCCTACCCACTTTGCGATTTCCACAAATTTAGCTCTCGTTCCCCTCCTGCAAAAAATGGCTGTAGCTCAAATCTCCGCCTCGCTCTCCCTTTCAATCAGAGGTACTCTCTCTCTCTCTCTCTCTCTCTCTCTCATTGAATATTGAATTTACTTTTGTAATATTGAAATTTCAAAATTTATAATTTGTTTGATAAATTCAACAGCTGCAAGTGGAATTAGCTCAGCAGCAGGTCCTGCTCGGCTTCCCCATTTTAATTCCGGTAGAATTGGGGCGACCTTTGCTTCTGGTTCTCCTCTCAGTAAGCCTTTGACTCTTCTTTCTCCTTAGTTACTCTTAAGGGATGTTTTCATTTTTTGTTTTTTTACAACCTGGTATTCGTCTTCACTTAAAATGAGAAGTCTTTGGTTAAAATGAGAAGTCTTTGGTTTGGTTTGAATTTCGTGGATGGTAAATTCGATACTAAATTATGTTGTCCATTGTGTAGCTTAACTGAACTCTCCCTCCCCTTTGTGTAAAATATCGATGTACTAAAAAAAAAAAAAAAACTAAAGAAATACAGTTACTAACTTACTGCTTAAGTGGCTTCAGTTTTCTTTTCTTAAACGTAAATTAAATTTGAAATGGTTATCGAACGGACCCTGAAATCAATCATTGCTGGAAAGAGTTCAAGAACCAGGAATAATTTTTAGTTTTTGGAATAAGAGCAATGTAGCCCAATTGACACAACTCAAAGTTTACAGATTCTTGTATGAGTAGAGTTTAATTGACACATAAGCTTATACTCTAGGGCTCGAATTCGAAAGTATTAGGACTATTGGGTTTTTGTTTGCTGTATTTAGTTGCTTAAGAGTTGATGTTTGATTTTGTTTTCAGTTATTAAAAGAGCATACCAACAAAGGAATGCTGCATGTAAATCGATGCCAATTTCCATAAGGTGTGAGCAAAGCACCAAGGAGGGAGGTTTGGATGTATGGCTTGGCCGGCTCGCCATGATTGGCTTTGCTGTGGCTATTGGCGTTGAGGTATCAACCGGAAAGGGACTTCTGGAGGTATGACACAAGCCATGGCTTTTAACATCCAAACCAACAAGATTTCCAATTTACTTTCTGTTGCATCCGTTTTTATGGGAATTAGTGTTGGTTTCCATTCGTTGAACCGTTGGCTTACTTGTGCCATTGATGATTTAGCTAGTATATAAAAGATATTGAGAGGCAAAGAAATTAGCATCTTGCATTGTCCTAAAAGTTATCCTTCATGTTTGCTTTTAGTGTTGTTTACTAGGGTAGGAAACTTACTGAAATTCCAATTAGAAGTACCATCTATAGATTATTTTTAGAATAAACTTTCTAATACTCGAGAGACTTGGATTCAAACTCAGTTAAAATCTTGTCGATTTGAGTGGGTTCTTCCTATGCACACCAAGCCTCAGGGTTACAATGACCATCCATTGCAGCTGTGCTCCTTGACCAATTGAGCCTTTTGCTTCCTTGCTTATGACCTTTTGTTATAAGGAACCTGACAGACGATAATTATGATTCCTGATTTATTGTGATCTTTGCTTGATTTTCCTGTATAAAGAAGCTTCCCAATTTACCATGTAACTCAATGAAATCGAGCTTTATTTGACATTGTTCCTCGTCTTCTTTGTGAGTTATCATTCTCGAATCTCAACAGGTACAATTTATACTAAGTTCCCGTTGTGATTGTGCAGAACTTTGGGCTTACAAGCCCCCTACCTACAGCTGCCTTGGGTGTTACAGCATTGGTGGGAGTTTTGACAGCAGTTTTCATCTTCCAATCCGGCTCAGAAAAGTGAAAACAGTTTCGGTTGCTTGGAAGTTGTTGTATAGTTTGTAATACTGACATGTATTCCAAATTCAACACTTGTTCATCACTGTAATTTTGTCAGAGTGCCAACACTTTCGGCGATACTTGAGGTTAAGGATGTATTATAATTGATCCATCTCAATGATGACATGCTCCCTAAAGCAAAATTAACTTTCTCATAGTGGAAATGCTTGTGAACTGTTTGGACTGGATAGCAAGCAAATGTGTGGTAGGCCGGCGGCGTGCCCGCACTTAGCACCCAAGTTTGAATCTCTTTACCACTAATTAGAGTGTATTAGAATCAATGTTTTAAAGGTGAAGGTGTGAGTGAGGTGTTTCTTGGATAGCCCTGCCTAGGCGAAAGCTTGAGGAGTGAGACCTAAATTTTTTAATGTATATTATACATAATGTTTAAAAAATATAATACTCTGCAAAAACTCTTAACTAAAAAGTGAACAGAAAGGAAGATGGCAGGGTAATGTATATCAATACAGTGGGGTAATAAATGTTAGGAAAGTGGGGTAATAAAAAGTATAGAAAAACGAAAGGTGAAGAGAAAGGAAGACAGTGGGGTAATAAATATCAACAAAGAAGGGTAATTGTCACATCCTGCCCTGGGCCCCCACCACATTCGGACTCGATTTCGTCATAGCATGATATTCTCTGCTTTGGGCCCCAATCACGCCCTCACGATTTTGTTTCTGGGAACTCACACAAAAACTTCTCAGTGAGTCACCCATCATAGGATTGCTTTCGCGCGAACTTGCTTAACTTCGGAGTTCCAATGGAACCCGAAGTCAGTGAGCTCCCAAAAGGCGTCGTGCTAGGTAAAGATGGGAATATACATATAAGGCTTACAGGATCCTGACCATTGGGTGATGTGGGATCTTACAATAATAAATGTCAGCAAAGCGGGAAATAAAAAGTTTAGAAAAATGAAAAGTCAGGAAAAAAAAAACCCTAGCTTCTTCATCTTGTTTGCTAGGCAAACTCTGCAACTCAAAGAATTCCATATTTCTGCAACTTAAAAATGAAAAAGGGACATCTCAGGTGCTCCTCAAGCGTTCCTCAACCGCCTAGGCGTGCCTCACGAAGCCTAGGCGAGTATTTCGTCGACTCCCACAAAACATAAGCGAAAAGGTTGAAGCCCCGCCTCCAAGGCTGCCTAGGCACACCTTGAGATGTGCTTTTTGAAACACTGATTAGAATATCGCGTTGTTAGATTCCTATTAATTAGAAACTGACTTGGAAAATAAATATTTTCACCTAGAAGGAACATCAGTTGTAATACTTTGTGAGAAGGATCTTAAAAAAAATTTAATTAGATGCAGACACAAATGAGTGGATATAAGCTTTTTTCAAAAGTTGAAATATTATCTTTGTAATTTCCAGGAAACAAGCCAACAGAATATTGGCCCTGCCCACTTATGTTGCATCAATGTTCCCTTATGATGCCAACAATTCCTGTTGCAGGTAAAATTAAAATAATTAATTTCTTTTCCCTCTTTTCTAATTTAGAATATATTCTCTTCACCTTTTGCATCAACCACCACTAATATTGCCCCATCTGGGCTTTTGCTTTCAACTCAAGAAATCTTTTTCCCTGTGCTTGTACATAAACTGATTGCAACCCTTGATGTATTTTCCTTCTCGGATTCTAAATCTTGTTCAAACTCTGCTAATAACTTTGTTGAACTTCTGTTTTTGGAATGGGAGGAGCGGTTTCGCGAATTGCAAAGAGGTTCTTCCCAAAGAATGGAGTGAGGATTCTAATGGTGGGTCTTGATGCTTCAGGAAAGACAACCATCCTCTACAAGCTGAAGCTTGGAGACATCGTTAACACCATACCCACCATCGGTATTTATCCTTAAAATCCATCCTGGATGAAGCATTTGGTTTATGATTCTGTTGCAGTTCAATTATCTTTGGTTTACACACTTGAGCCACTATATTGTGATAAAAAATTCTCCGTGCAGGATGTTAGTTGTTTTATTAAAGAACTAACGCGTATTTGTAGTGTTGAAATGTACCAGTTTACATAGAGTATGACACTGCCTTCACTTTTATGGAGCAGGTTTCAATGTGGAGACAATAGAGTACAAAAATATTACCTTCACTATTTGGGATGTTGGTGGACAAGACAAGGTACCAAGCTCTTTCGCTCTTCTATCCGTCCGCACAAGGATGACTGATTTTATACATTTCTGGACATAGTTGGAAATGGTTTTGATTCAATTATGTGTTTAAATATGGATCAATTAAACTCTATGGAGCTTTGTATTGTGATCGCTAACTAATCTGTTCATCATCTCCTTGCTGCTCACCAGATACGGCCTTTGTGGAGGCACTACTTTCAGAATACTCAAGGCATTATATTTGTTGTGGACAGCATTGACAGGGAAAGAATCTCAGAAGCCCGCAACGAGCTTCATTGTATTTTAAGTGAGGTCTGTGAGGTTTATATGTGAGGAATACAATACCTGTTACAAAAAGGATTACAACTGTGTTGAAGAAAAGGAAAGAAAGAGGTTTATAATTGCTGTCTCTTTTTGCAGAGTGAACTAAGCAATGCAACACTTCTTGTCTTTGCTAATAAGCAAGACCTTCCACATGCTATGAGTTCTTCTGAGGTTGCTGATAAACTTGCCCTGCACTTACTCCGGAATCGTTTCTGGTATGCGTATAACTTCTCTACTGTACATAAGTAGCTAGAAGAAAAGGGATTGCTTAATTTTAAAAACCTGCTACTGAAACTTGAAACAAAAGCCAATGTAACGCGACTCAAACGTGTTACAATCTGATCGCGTATTGATTCTGAGTTTTCAATGGAATTTTAATGAGTTTTATTGCATAGGTACATCCAAAGTACTTCTGCCACCACTGGCCAAGGACTCTATGAAGGTCTTGATTGGCTATCTGATAATATTGTCAATAACAAGGCATGATGCAAGGGGGCTTCTACAACATTCAGACCATTCACATTCGTACTCGATACATTTTAGTGGAATCAAATTGGCTAGCAATGGAAAGTGAACACATCATTTCTTTGCAAAACCCTGCATATTTGGTTCGAATGGAGCTTCAGTAGAACCGGTCGGTTTACGAAATGAGGGAAATTCAAGCCTGTCTTCCTGTCTTGGGGAGGTATAGAATCCCAGTTAGCACTACTCACTACTGTATTGATGAAGTAACCTGTATTCATTAGTACAATCTCAGAATAAATGTTGATAGGTTATTTTTGGTCTGCTCCTTTTGGTTTGGATTTGAAGCATGTTGACATCAAATTCGATTTACTCTTAATTTCAAGTTGCCTGACCAAGAAAAATATCTAATCTTTCGGAATAAGAGGCAAAGATACAATTGCAATTAAAAATTGTTCCAATCCAGAAAGACAAAAGATTTTATGCTCAAATTTCGCTTCCTGGTTGCACCTATGTAATCAACAGAGTCATCAAAGGTGGATGGATGAAATTCCACGGTTCAAGGTCGATAGATGAAAATCCATAGATTGGTGCCCGGCTGGAGCCTCAGATTTCTTCTGATTCCTCTTCTTGCTTCTACATTTGTTCCTTTCATTCGGTTTCTCATCCACCGCAGGCTGTGTGCTTATTATGTCTTGATAAATTGCACCAAGCGGATCCGCCTGGAAAGCAGGATGATTAACAAGTGCACTCAGACGCTTTCCTTCCTTCAATCTGATGAAAACGTAACAATATCAGTCTATTATTCCCCCCGAGTTTCCGTGATCTACTGAGAATAAATATTTTAGAATAAAAAAATTGGAAAACTTACATTAGCTTGAACTTTGCAGCGGGAGTTAGTTCTAGTGAATCCTTCAACTCAGGCAGAAACTCTGAGAGGGAAGAGATATCATATGCATTCAGTTTCTTCCGTCGGATATGAAATTTCTTCTTCTGGTACAAGTGAAATTCACTCATTAGCATACATGATGGATTTTATTCAAAAGTAAAACAATGGAGAAATCTGAAGAATGCCAAAAACCTAATCATGTTACTGCAACAAACAATATGCCTTGTGAAAGTCTTGCTAGCACCGGGGGGTGGGGGGGAATTCGACCCGAAATCAGTCTCACTTGAAAACTGAAATATCTCTATTTTTCGAAGACCTGGGTGAAGACCGGTTGTCCAAAGGCAATGTGCCCTCCCCTTGCATCCGAGTTCAAATTTCCCCTCCCCGTAGCAAATGTCAAATAAATCATAATTTCCAGTTGCAAATTCACAAACAAACAATCATGCTTAAAAAAATTACCAACCACGATCACCACGAAAAATTAAATTCTCACCTTGAAAAAACCCTTCTTTGTACTCGAGGCAAGGGTTTCTTTACCTGAATTTTCACCCATGTCTGAATTTGCTTCTTGAAATATTATTCCACTCCTCTAAAATATGACAAAATTTATGAGCAAACTTCGCTAGTTCAGAAGAAGGGGGTCACCGGTGTGGCTCAAGGAACTCCCCCACGGTCAAGCCAGTAAACTTGTAAAATTCAAACCAGTCTTCGGCTTAGAGCTCAAGGTATTATGGACATTTTTTGTTGCTGGTATTTTGTACCTTGGTTTGTTCGTGAAGGGAGGATTTATACTGGCTCTAATGGAGTAAGAGCAAACCATTTTAGGCATGTGTATATTGTTCTTAGCCGTTTTGGCAGCGCTCAATTTTAGGCATATCTAGGTTGCCCTTTCCCTTTTCAAATTCCTTGGATTCTTAGCCCTTTTTCTTTGGGTCCAAAGCCATGTTTTATATTCGGCTTTTTGGGACAACCTCTATGTGCTTAGTTCTTATTTCCTTACTTGCGTGTGAAGGCACTTTGTTTTTCTTCTCCAAATGACAGATTTGTTTCCAAAATTTTTATCTTAACTTGCTCCAGAATTTTTCATTTTTGATGCAAGCGATATTAGTGGAGAGAGGAATCAAACTCAAGACCTTATGTGTAAGTGTTAATGCCCTTTAATGAGCTAAACTATATGATATGCTTGATAACCAATTCAGTTTTTAGGTTATGTATGATAGGAAGATTCTAGGGATCCTAAAGCTATCTCATTTGCAGGTTGCTTTTGTTTCTTGACAAAATGAATTTAAGGGGGGAGTAGTCAAATTAGGATATGATAGCATTTTAATGGATTTTGAAATTTGGGTGTAGTTTTGCATTTTAAAAGATCTTGAAATCATGGTGTAGTCAAATTAAGATTTTATAGGATTTTAAAAATCCATCAAAATCCAAGCATAGTCAATTAGGATTTGTAAATGAGTTTGCAGATGTCTAGGTGTAGTGAAAATACCAAGGATTTGCTAGGATTTTGATGGATTTGAGGGTCTGTGGGTATAAATACCAAATGTCATCAATAATCTAATCCTCACCCCTCATATTTCTTTTCACGCAAAGGGAACAACCTTCTCCATTTGAGAGGACCTGCTGTGAACTCAACCATCTTGGACTTCTATAGCTGGCCGTGAAATCTTCGCATGCATGAGAAGATGGGTCTCGCGTTTTGCAAGCTTTGATGGAGGCCACATGGAATATATTTTTGGGAACTTTAATAAAAAGGGCTTGGATGGAGATTATTTTAACAAAAAACCAGCCTAAAATATTGTTTAACAAAAAACTCTTCAAATTTAACCAAAAGGACAAAAGCCCTAAATTATATACAAACTGAATTACAAGGCCCAACACGCTCAAATATAACTTTCCATAATTGCTCTAACAGAAACAGAGAAGAAGAAAGGCTTCTCTCTCTTCACTCCCACCTCATGTGGTCTCACCTTTTCATATTTGGTTTTTTATTAAATTGCTTTCCAATGAAATTGGAACCGCTAGCATCCCAACATGTTTTAAGAAATTATGTGATGCCCCATCTCCCAACTTTTATGCATCACATCCCTTAGCTCTCTCCTTTTTATTTATTTATTTTTATTTTTTATAAATTGTTGTTCAAATGCTTTTTACATTCATATGTTTTACACTTTTATTGTGTTTTAAATTTACAATAAATTCATATGATTTCTATAAAATGTTTCTTAAAGTACTATGGAGTTGTAATTATTTAAATTTTCATTTCATTCTATCAAATTACACTTTACCACCTCAGGTTTAAGGTCTATTGCAATCTCAGACAATATCATCAAAACATTTCACTTTCATACCTCAAGTACTATTTTATTTCAATATAATACATCCGTTACATTTTCCATCCCTTAATTCGTTAAGAGCTGACGTGGATGCCACATTTGTGCCACATGGCAAAAAAAATTTAATATTAGAAAAAAAACTTAACCCCACCCCCAGCTCCCCTGCAACCCTCCCCACCCTTTTTCTCCTTCCCAAGCCTCCCAACCACCTCCCTCCTCCACTCTCTTCACCTCCCCTCCCATCCCAAAACCCACCCCATCCCAGCAAAATCCAAATCCAAATCTGAATCCCTCTCTGCAAAAATCTCCCCAAACCAACCCAAAACCCATCATCTTTGTAACACCTAGCCCCCGAAATACTAATTTCAGGGAATATTATTGGTGATAGGCTCAAACTAAACTCTTGTTTAGTTAACTACCATTAATCTCGATTCAGTGCTTCAATTTCCTAATCCCTCACATTAAAATTTATGGCCAACATTTGATTTCCATAACATAAGGTTAAAACTCAAGTTATTGACCAAATTCCATTTTCTTAGTACAATTTCTCAATTATTTAACTACCACCTATCGTGATTCTTTAATTAAACGTCTTGTTTCCATCCATGATCCATCATTATAATTTTCATACCAACAGTGATATTATATTCTCATTTTGTCACCATTTTCTTTTATAAATCAGTTCCCATTCTAAAAATTTTATTCTCGAATTATTTAAGGTTGCAACTAAACTTGTTAGACTGCTTACGTACCCTTGAGCGGGATCAAGCCTTGGTAGTTCACCATTCCACTTCCTAACTCATTTCCGTTCGACGTTTAGTGACCAACAATCATTAACTATGTCCAAAAAAATGAATCACACCAGATGCATAATAAATATGGACTCAGAACATCAGAATTAGTGTGAAAAAGACAGCGTCAGCTCACTGGCCACGCGCCGTCGCCCCGACTCACTGGAAATTTCAACTATTTCCAAAATTACCAAATTTTACAGGGTTATAGAGCTCAATGAGTGGAGCAATTTTCATACCTGCGGCCAAGTACAATTTGGCCGGGAAACATCTTAAATTGTCCACGAACCACCGGAAACCCTTGTTTTTGGGTGTTCTTAATTCGACTCCAAAACAACTTCGACGCCAAAACCACTGCATGAGCTTTGTTCCAGGCCTCAAAGGGAGTCTAATAGTAGTGGTAATTGGATGAAATCATTTCAAAATTTGGTGGATCTCGGGCAAACACCCCCGCACCCACCAGTGCATTTTTCCCAATTTCAAGGTCAAATCTCATGATTTTTGGTGTGTAATAGGAAGAGGGAATGTCATGGAGGGTTTTCCAAGTGGTGGTTTGATGTGATTCGCTAGAAAAATGGGTGAAAACCCGTCGGAAAAGGCAAGGAAACTGATCGGGTAGTGTCACCAAGTTGCGGGTTGGGGATCCCTTATTTCCCCTCATTTTCTTTTCTCTCTGATTGGTCACCCTTCCCCTTCTCCTTCCTTCCTTTTCTCCTTTCTAACCTTTCCTTTCCATCGCAGCCGTCAATCTTTTTTTTTTCTTTCATCCCAGCCACACACGTGGCACACGCATTGGCTCCGGATTTTTTGGAGCCTTCTAAAATGAAGTAACATTACTAAAACATCCCTGATTTTAAACGTTAATAACTTCTTTGTTATAACTCTATTTCACAAACGGTTTGCGCCCATGCATTCGTGAGATCGAGCTCTATTCAAAAATATAATTGTGACCTTTAAAGTTCTATGGATTTTAAAGAATTATTTTCCAAAGTTAATACTTAAATTATAGTAGTCTTTGGAAACAAAACTTTAAAAGTTCTCAATTCAACTTTTCACAACCATAAATCGATTTATTTTCGATTTTCTCCACATTTTCACATATTTGAATTTTTAGGGTATCACATTCACCCCCGTTAAAATAAATCTCATTCCCGAGATTTCAACCATTGAGTTACGAAAAGGAATTAGAATTATTCCCAACATTCCTTTAATGGTGAATAAAATCATAATCTCCATCTACGATTTCAATCAGGCTCCAAAAATAAGCAACCAATGAATAATAATCATGATTCTCACCCACATTCACAGGTTCGTAGCTACATTCATTGACAGAGTAAATATCAGAATTTCTAGCCATATACCTTGGCAAAAATAATATCAAACATCAAGCCATAATTCTTGTTGGCTAAATAAATACCAGGACATCAAACCACATCTACCATTGGCTAGATAAATACTAGCATAATAACCACAAATATCATAAATTCCAGCCATAACTATCTTTGGCCAATTAAATATAAGAATTTCAAGCCATGATCATTAATGGCTAAGTACATATCAAAATTTCAAGCCAAACCACTAAAATTGACAAATCAATTAGCAAAAATCCCAACCAAAATCATAGGAATTTTAAACATCATTACTCACCACTATATTAAAATAAAGATCCGCAATTCCTGTTACCATGGAATGAAATCAAAATCTCATTCTATGATTTCCTTCATTTCTGCAATTTACTAAATTACTCATAGCAAAATTAAAAACCTTATCTTTTCTCTTTCGTTTTTTTCTTTCCCGTTGTTTAATGAATGGACATGGGAACCAAATATATATACGTTCTTGAACTTTGTATAGAAGAGCTTCCCACACATGAGCATGAACTAGACAGAGAGCTCCAAAAGCTATTCAAGGACAACTAAATGCCCTAATTATAAAGAAACCAATGCTTGAAATTAAACATGCATCAACCAATCAAGGGCACCGGTTGAACTTGAGAATATGTTCATCTATTGTATTTGAACTTACGGCATCCAGGATTACATGCACATGGCATGCATTTTGTTATTAACCATATGTGCTGATAATACAAAATATTTCTCTAACAAAATCCAAACAATGCAAAATGTTCTTCTTTCTGCATTCGAGTTTAAATCTTCATTTCCGTAATGTATATTTGATTAAAGTGTCAAATATCCTTCATGTTGAGAAGAAAATAAAAAGAAGTAAAAGAGCATAAGCTTGTGGCATCCCATGCCCCCAAAATTTGGTCATGACATCACATAATGCACTTTGACATGTCAAGAAGCAACAAATTGTGCAGAAAATGGAGCATCAATGAATCTTTTTAAACTAGTAGTGGTCCAATTATCTTCTCTCTCATTGGCAAAATCAAATGTCAAAAATTCAAGCCATGACTATAGTGGCTA